CATGTTCAGCAGCTAGTAAAAGTTATTCTTCATCATGTACCGCATTTACTTCTTACAACAAAAACCTAGCCTACCTATGACCATGCAAAATGATATCAAACAAGGAAATTAGGGTATGAAATCAACAGATGAATTTGGACTTTCTTTTAGAGTGGGATGAATTTGAAGTTTTAAAAGTTCTGATTCCGTAGCAAAGGTAATGGGGAACAGGGAGTAATGTTTAGTATATAACGAAGACATTGAAACTGAATCTCTATCAAAGACAAGCTCCTCCCCCTAAGCTATTATAAAGTTGGATTAGATGGTAATGATCACAAGAAGTCACATACCTATGACCAAACTCCTCCGGCGTTGTCAACAAATCTCGACCCAGAAAGTTTCCTTCCAATAAGGTCTCTCAACTCAATCTCACCAGGAAATCTCTGCTCCTTCAACTTAGAAAATACCTTCAGAAAACAGATAATATCGGTCAACAGTCATCTTACCCAAAAAAAAAAAAAAAGAAACCAGAATAAGGTTTCAAAAGAATCTTACCATTTCACCGTTGCAATATACTTCGAAGGCTCCAGAACTTTGTAAGAATGACTGGATAAAATTTCCAAATAGCCAAGTGCTTGCAATGCTTCCAAACCTATTTGCACGCAATGAATAGTACCAAGGTGGCGGTGCCATCCCCAACCTAGGAAAAATGTGTTCCCCTGCCGTTATTATTCCAATAACTCCAAACTGAACGACGGGTACTACTTTACTAAGAAGGCGCTTTGGGAGTGGCGGGGGGTAATTTGCCAAAATAACTTCAACTCCAGGAAACGACAACTCCAGCATATTTTTCATGTTTATCGCAGTACCTCTGCCACAGTAAGTGTAAAATCATTTCACAGCAAGCATTTCCACAAATTGAGATAACATGGCAGTACTACTACATTTTAAAGAGACAGCCCCAAAACATATAGATCAAACGCAAGCACACAGCTTCTGAACATTTCCTATTTGTAGTGGGGGGGTGGAATCTGGAGCAAATATCATAGTTCACGCAGAAAGATAATTACGGATTACGGTGAAATCTACCCACAAACTTAGCATAATAACTAACACCATTATTTAAGTGCCTGTCCGATGCTTCGTAAATACAAGTAAAGAAATATATGATATTTATTCCATGAAGAACATTGGATCATTTATTGGCCAACTTGGAATCACGAGTGAAATTATTTTTCAATAATATCGTGTAAAAACAAGAAGGTAATTTGGTAAATGCTACTCTAATTAGACTTGTGCTCGATTCTTATGCTGTATGAGTAGAGACCAAAATTCTATCTTTCACAATCCAGTTCATTTTTTATCCCATTGGGGAGTTTGAAACGTTAAACTGTTTCTAAACCTAAATGAAAATTAACTTGCAAGGCATAATCTACTGAAGTTGCTTATCAATGCAACACTAAAGCATGCTATAAGTAAGTTCATTTTATAGGCTCTCAAACAGCTGAAGTCAATTGAAACCTACGTTTTTATGCTATGCCTTGCTCCATCTCAGACAACCTAACATAGAGAAGTTGGCTCCATATGGAAATTTATTACAAATTGTTTCCATATGTATGCAATTATGTTCGTTCAGCACTCTTATCTTGAACAAGAACAAGCATATTAACAGAGGAACAACAACAGTGAAGAAGAATACAACAAACTTTTTATTATAATGACTATGAATTCAACAGCTGCTAGAGAGTAGAGGAACTGAAATATTTGTTCAACTGAGGAAGCTAACAATGTTGTGATTAAAATAAGCTAAGAAATCATGATTAACTGAACAACAACAGTGAAGCAGACTCGGCCTGTTTTTCATGATGATGACTCCAACCGACCACGAAGGTGGGGAGAAGTCAAAATAATAGTTCAATCGAGGATGTTAGGGTAATAAAAGAAATCCGTGCTAATCAAAGGTGAGGAAAAAAAAATCAAGATCAAAGGAACAAGAAAGATTCCAAAGTATAACTAATTTTTCATCATAATGACTCTCAGCAATCACTAGATAGTAGAGAAATCGAAATGATAACTAATCGAGGAAGTTAAAGGTAAAAGAAACCTGGACTTATAGGGGGAAAAAAACAAAGAAATCGTGTTTAAAAGAAGAGGCAAAACTCCGAAGTACAACCGACTGGAGATTTAATGTTCTAAAATAACAACTACTAGAAGGTAGAGAAGTCGAAACGTTTGTTTAATCGACGAAGGAAGTTAACAATAACAAAAGAGACCTACACTGAGAACAAAAAATGTTCGTTCAATCGAGGAAGTTAACGATAATCAAAGAAACGTGTGCTAAGGAAAAACAAACACACAACAATCAGATTCTCCTTCACTATAAGTTTACCGCAATATGATGCGTGATCAGAGTCGATGAAAAATGGAGGAGAAAAAAACACAAGAAAGGAAAGTCACATAAACGTTTGATTCGCTCACTTCCCGCCCAAAATGAGACAAATAAACACAAAAATTGGCAATCAAGACGATGAACTACCTGAAAGAACAAGAAACACAGAAATTGATATTAATAACGCTGCCCTGGCCAATTTCTCCGATTCCACTCCGTTTCTGCAATCCAAAACGAGACGAAAAATTAAGTTGTAGAATATAAAAAATAATAACAAAATTCAAGAAATGTCCAATCAAACATGAAATCATTAACCTCCGTAGGAAATTCAAGCGGTTCCTGGATGACTGGTTGAGATTTAGGCTGGTAGTGAACTCGAGGTGGAGGATGATTGACAGGTTTAGGAGGCGGAGGCGTGAAAAGATTCACAATATCAGTAAAAAGCAGAAAGATCGGCAGACCTAACAGAACTATCTGAGTTCGATCCATCGGGATCAACGATGCAAAGCTCTCAAGAATCAGAAACTCGAAGTCCACGAGAGACGAAGGTGAAATGCTTTGGGGGAAAGGCAACACTTCCAAACGAAAATATGAAGCCTATTGAAGGCTAAACTTGTCCTCGAGAAATTACTTTGCCGGGCTTTGGGAATATCTTGAAATGAGATGAAATGACCCAACTACTACGGTATATATACCCAGTCCAAATGCACGTACACGAGTCACACATATGGGCCCGATGGGCCTGGACCCAATAGTTCTTGAGCTTGAAGAAAACAGAAGGCCCAATATTTCGCTACGCCTAAAATGTAAATGTGAAATGCACTGGTCTAACGATATTCTGCCTAAGTCAACCCTTTCATAGTTCACTAACTTTATTTTACCGAAAAGTAAAACTTTGCAGTTTGATAAATTATCCAGTGAAACGTCACAATTCAAAAATTAACTATAATATTTATGAGTTAAAGTTAAAAAAATAATAAAATAAAAACTAGTTACATAAAAATATGTTCCCTTATCCGCCCATTTCTGTAACTTTATGGCTTGGAATAGAAGGAATCAGAGATTGGTCTAAACATTTGACCCTTGCAATGTTGACAACTGGAGTTTAAAAAAACAATAAAAGTCAGCAATAGTTGTACAAAAAATTTAATTTAGTTAGGGACCCACCGAAGCTTGTTCCTATTTTTTCGGGGGACCCACATGTGAGGTTCTTACCATCCTAACCCCGGTCTGTACAATCCATAGGTCTATATGGCAGGACTTGCAGGTCATTTGACTTTTTTTNTTTTTTTTTTTTTTTTTTTTTTTTTTTTTTTTTTTTTTTTTTTTTTTTTTTTTTTTTTTTTTTTTTTTTTATAGTCAATTTAGGTAAAAAGAATTGTTTCGTTTTCAAATAAAGAATCTTGACTTTTCCCATTGAATGTTTATCGAATTAATTCAAATAATACATTTGGACAAATAGACTACTAAGTTTTAAATATTTATTTATTTTTTATTATTATTATTTTAAATATGTGGGGTGAAATTCCAACCTTTTGACTTTAACTAATNATGTTCTTAAAAAAAAAAAAAAAAAAAAAAAAAAAAAAAAAAAAAAAAAAAAAAAAGCATAATTGAAATTATGCTCACGTTGGCTCTTCTTTTTTTCTCTTATTCTATATAAAGAAAAATAATGAATAATAAATAGTTTACTTTAAACAATAAATTCAGATGAAGATTTCATTTAAGAATAAGATGATAAAAAATAATAAAAAATAAAATTTCAGTTCTCTTAGTGATGGCAGAAATTGAAGGGAGAATAAAGGGAATAGAATGTTGTTGTTATAAATGCTTAATATCCCAAACAGACTATATTAAAATAACGGATTTATTGGATTAATTAAAACAAAGAATCATACCATGTGAAACTCAATCGACAAGATTTCTGGGGATTGATGAGATTCATGTATTTTAATTATATTATATAATAATACTCTTCATTTTCCCACCATCCACACAATCTAGAAACTCTCTATTTATATATAATTTTTATTCTAATTACTGTCAATTAAGACTTTATTCAATTTTAGTATTTTTTAAGTGTGTAATTTTAGTTTTCTTAAATCTAGTACTTTATTATCTATTATCTTTATAAAACTCCTAATTTAGTAGTTTATTTTGTATTTAATTTTGGTAAAATTAAAATTTACTAATATTTTTTCTTAATTTGGCATTTAAAACGTTCCATATCTAATAAATTCTTCAAATTAGGGTATTCAAAATTTAAGTCAGAGTCTCGAAATAGATAAATAATTTCTAAAAACTTGTTTTTTAATTTAAAATTTGGTTATGAAATAAAATGTAAAAAAAAAAATAAAAAAAAACCCTAGGAGATGATCGATGGTAGAACATGGTGTGTCGGTGAAGTATTATAATCAGAAGTGAAGTTACTGTAGGATTTGTGAAAGAAACACGGTTTGGTGAATTTGTGTAACCAAGCTGGACATCATAACGAAACTTCTGGATCACCACATGATTCAACGTTGATTTCTTCCGGTACAAGAAATTAAAATAAATTTAAAAACTGCATTATTCTTTCTGCTTGAAAAATAAATAAGCTTCTAAAATTTCCAGCGAATCCACCAATTATCAACTCTAGCAAATAGATTCCTAATTTCGAAACAAACCAAGAACAAATTTGTATCTATTTGCCACTACAAAATAGGGAAATATGCAAATTTGTCACGCAACAACATTGAAAAAAATGGCTATTCCTTGAAGGATTGGAAAGAAGTAATCATTCAGAAGAGACCAAAATTTCCTTTTGTAGCCATCTATAATTATTCATACAAATTTCTCTCTAATTATGTATACTATGAAACATTATCAAAGGATGGTAGTGACGGGTTCTAAGATTAGGCTAAAGCCAGAAAAATACTTGCACTCTCTAAACAAACAACAATGTTGTCTATCAAAAGAGCATTTGATCGATCGAAAGACCATCTCTTTCTCACATAAAGATCATGTTCTAAGGTCCTCAAATATCATCAAAACCTAAAATTTATGTGTCAATTCATTTATATCGATTAGGATATGAATCTATTAGTATATATCAATCACAGAACAAAAATGGTTGAACGAATAAGTTACGATTAATTATTATATGAAAATGAGAAGGATTTATAAAGCAAAAATGGAATAAAAGAAGTTGAAAATGAAAAGAACCTCTGTTGAAGCATGCAAAGAATTACTACATATGATCATCTCTTCTAATCTTGTTTAACAAGGCTGTGATTAAGGCATCTCTTTTCTCACCCCTAATTTCCTCTCTTATTCTCCTTTGTTCTTCTCTTTCCCTCCAACTTCTTTCCAACATTATCCTCTCATGTTCTAAAGCTTCCATGTTCCTTCTCCACTCCATTTCCCTCATTTCCCTCTCCTTTTCCCTTGCCTCAAATGCCTCCCTCCACTGCACCTCCATTTGCATTTGTTGATTCATGAAATCTTCCAATATTTCTTTCAAACGGCTACCGCTTCCCCCTCCGCCGTCTGTCGCCATCGTCGTGCCTTTAACCTTCTTCCTCTTCCTGCTGTTAACCTTCGTCTCGCCCCCGTCGCCGTTACTGTCTTCGTTTTCTTCCTCGTCATCGGACGATAATGTCTTCATCTTCTTCTTCGATCCACTCCCACCGCTCTCCGCCTCCGCCATGAACATCCTTTGCATTCTTGCTCCGAAAATTGCTTTTAGTTCTGTGTAGAATGGAAATTGTTGCCTTAAATTTTCTGGCTCCATTGTTTCACAACCCTGTATATAATATATATCAATTCCACGCCTTTGTTTATAGGTAAGATTTGATCCGGATATAAGCAAGAAATTTTAATGATATTTTTTGTTATAATCATATGATGTAATTTGATGGATAAAGATTATTATATTATAAAAATAGAAGAGATTTAATAATACCTTATAATGAGTAACGAGGTTTTTCCATTTACATTTACACTGTTCAGCGCTGCGATTGAAACCCTTTTCCTTCATTTTGGAGGATGTAATTTCCCACAAGAGCTTGTTTCGTTTGGTTTCCATGAAAGTCCGATCCAGCTCGGCTCTGATCGTCAAAAACTCCTTTGTTTCCTGAAGGCTCCATTGAGGGAATCTGTCGGGGGCGGCTAGGGTTGGATCGGCGGAGACGGTGAGGCTCTGGTGGAGATGCGACGGTGGACGGAGTTGAAACTGTTGCTGGTGGTGGAGCGGAATAAGGTGATGGGGATGATGTCCTTCCATGACTACACAAAGCTTGAGAAAATTATATAGATATCTGAAAGAGAAAAAAAAGGGGAAAAAAGGAAAGGGAGATCGTCGTTGGAAGAAAGAAAATGAAAGGGAATTTTTTTAATATGTGGGTTGGTGTGAAAACCAGATGTGAAATCGTAAAAAAGAGCAAAATAAAAATATAAATAAAAAATATAAATTTTGGGCATAATCTATTAACGCGGAAATGAAAAATCTCTGAATAAATTTTATTATATTATTAATCTTTTTTATATATTATTATATCATTTGAGTATCCCTTTTGTTCCCATTGCGTTTGCGCGTCGTCAGCCTTGCGAGACCGTCCTTCTTGAGGTTGGAGGCTTTATTCCAACTTCTTCACGGCTGGTCCAATCTACACAGCCAGCTTCTATCCCAAGCTTCAATTATTACATAATATTTCTCCTTTTTTTGTTTATAGTAATTTAATTAATGTAAAGTTTTTTAATTTTAAAGTGTGAAATTATTCTTTTTTTTTTCTCCCAAGTAAATTACAATATTTCCATTTTAGTGAAAAGCATGATTATTATACTTTATAAATGCTGAAAAGGGAGGAAACTATCTCTTATTTATTTTAAAAAATCGAAAAAGGGTCTATCCACGTCGTTTAAATAAAATAAAAAACGCGGTATTCTGTGATGTCCCACGTGGGTAAGCCTACAACGAGCATCCACGTGGCACGCATGCAGACATCATAAGGGAAAGTCCGGCGGACCCACAGGTCATATGGTTCACACCTTGTCCAATTCCAAGTCACTGCTTACACATCTTGACCCCACTTTGCCACGTAAACAATGTCCACCATATCATTCCAATAACAATCCACCACGTATCCAGAAGGTGGAAGGGCAACTTGGCAACAAATAATCTAGAAGGTTTTTATTTACGAAAGTACCCTCGATTTTTCTTGAACGACACGTCGTTCTAAACTGACTTTAATACTGGGCCGAGTAAAAAACTGTTGATGTGGTCAAAAGAAATTCTTTTACATTGACCGTCGTCTTCAAATTTCTACGCCTTCCGTGGGGCCTACTGCAGAGCTGGCAAGTTGTTTTTCGTAAAAGATAGCGCAGCACCTTGATTCTCTTTTTCTACCAAATTCCAATCCAGCAAAGGTTAAATTCATAATTTACTATCTTTTAAGATTTGATTTGGAACAACTTTAACATTAGGAAAAAAGATGGTTTTTGTTTTAAATATTTTCTACCATTTTCTTTTGAGATCATTAAAATTAATTAACGATAACTCTTAGTATTTATATATTTGTATCATCCTAAACTCGAGACTTGTGAACAAAAGTACGATACATTTTATGTTATGGGTGTATATGAATTGAGGAACAAAGCATAACCCGATCAAATTAGATCTAATCTAGACTAACCAAATTAAAACACGAAACTCAAGTCCCAATTTAAGTTTTGGCATGAGACAACAAAGGGTTAAAAGCCCGAAGGCTCGCCTTAGTCAAGGTCGATGTTGATGTGGCCTTTCTTACTCTAGGGTATGCGTTTAATGCACCCCGATCTTGATGAGACATTGCAAAACTAGTTGGACCTCTTCGATTATAATTGAATGGTAAGGGTTATAAATTCCAAGTCATCTAAATTGGAAGGTATCAACGAATTTAAACAACAATGAAAGCAATGACTTGTATTTTGCGGTAGAGCTTGGGGATCAAGATGGAGTGAGCCACAAGGAAGGGGAAGTCCCAAGGACTTGCCATGGCCCATGAGAGATGTTTCACAAGCTTTGAAGAATATTTAAGAAAATACATTTTTTTTTCCTGTAAAATTTCAACAAAATAACATTTTAAATTATATTTCTCATATAATACTAATTAATCAATCATATAGTTTTAATATTTTAAATCAAATATCCCAAATATTTCAATTGATAATTTTCCCCATTAAAATACATCATTTTTTAAATATTAAGGGTTTTTTTTTTCCTAAAAAAACAAAATGAAAGGAAAAATGTGTGCGTAAGGGAGACCGGAATTCCGATGTTATCACTTTAAACGCTTTGATGATTTACGTTAAAATTGAAACGTCACACATTCCATGTCAGTATATGACATCAATCCTACAAAGATCATTATTTATTTTCTTTTACTTTTTTTTGGAATATTTATTTTCTTTTTCTTTTTCCTTTTGGAATAATTCTTTTACAAATTTAAACCTGAGAAAAGGAAGAAAAAAAAAAAAAAAAGTCAAATGTCAAAAGGAAAGTTACTGGACATAACTTGTTCACAAAATCTAGTCAGACTTAAAAAGTTAAAATTCAATCCACGCTTAATTCACAAAAAAGGGGGAAAATAAAAGACAAAAACATTAAAAAAAAAAAAAAAAACATATATATTTATGTTTCTTATTTCCATCTTTGTGTAGTTAAAAATAAATATAATTCAACGGGAGTAAATTTTGTTCTTAAAAGTTGTAAATTTAAATTTTGTAGGAATGTTTTATTATCCATCTCCAACTGATTTAATATGGGATCTTATAATCTATTTTTTTTTTTTTAGTCTAACGTTCTTGTCGGCGTACCCTCTAATATTTAACACTATTACCATTTGTAACCGTCAAAATTTAACTACTACTGATAAATATTGTTGTTTTTAACTAAATTTCATTTCCAAATGGAATGAATTATTGGGAATGAAAGGTAATTAACATTTAAAAAAAAATAAATAAAAAGATTGGCCAAAAATCACATCAAGTTCCTTGGTCTGTACACCCCAAAAAAGGCTTCCTAGTGTTGAAAATAATAGATTCTCTTTGTCTCTTTAATGGGTCTAATTAAAATTAATAATCGTACTCTCGTATGATTTAGTGAGACAATTTGATCTAAAAAAGCTAAAATAATTAAAATATATGATTGTTGGGAGGGTATCTTGAATTGACTGAAAGAGGAAGAAAACAAAGTTAAGATGTACCATATTTTATTCTAAACATATCTTGATTTCATATATATTATTTAATTTTAACACTTTCAAAAAGTCATTTTAAATATATTTTAAACAAAATTTAAGTTCAACATTAGTACCCGACCTTATAATTTTAGAAATGTCCCAGATTAGACTTTAAAAAATAAATATATAATTTTAGTAAAATCTTAACTTAAATTACTAAAAAAACTTTAAGAAATGGGCAATAATACGTGACATTTCTGGGTTGGTGTGGTCCAATCACGGCCCAATTAAAGAGTAGGTGACATGAAATGGGTTTGTAGGGCTCCAAAAGTTTTGGTTGGTTTCAACACACAAGGGCGTGTTTGGAGGGCATCAAAAACCAAAAGATGCTTGAAGCTATATATATATATATTTCTTTCCTATTTTATGGGATTTGTTTTATTATTAATATATATATATATATTTTGTAGGGGTAAAGGGATGTAATGAAAGACGTGTGAAAATAATCATGCAAAAAGCTTCTTAATGAAGCTGAGTCTAAAAATGCAATTTAAGCCAAAACTAACCCTACATTTCCCCCTTATTACTCTTTCATCCCAATCAAACGCTTAGGAAATAGACAAACACCTCCATTCTTTTTTATTCCAAACCATTTAAACCAAAACTAACCCTACATTTCCCCCTTATTCTCTCTCGCCTTAATTCCCCTCCCTTTCCAAGTTTTACAGGCTTTTTGACCTTGAGAAGTGAACAAAGCATTCGTCTAAACTATCGAGATGCATAACATGCTAAAGCGTACAATATCTGTTATTAATGGGCTTGAGCGGTTACAAATGGTATTAGAGTCCAGACACAGAGCGCCATATGAGAAAGGATGCTGATTATTTTGAGGATAAAGATGGAATTTTGAGGGTTGATTTATTTATTAGAAAGAATGAGGATTTAAAGAAAGAGGGTTAAGAATAATTTGATGGGAAGCAAAATGAATCAAAATCCATAAAACGAGGGACAAAGTGGGAAAGCGAGATAATAAATTAGCAGTTATCATTCTGTCTGTATTCGAGGAGTTCGATTAAAGAAGAAATAAAAACTCGAGAGAACAAAAAGAGAGAGGGTAATTAAAAATACAAAATTGGGAGGAAAAAAAAAAACACAAAGCCACATCTCAACATCACCATGTTCCCACAGAACGGCCCCGTTCCGACCGTTCAACCTTCTTGGCGTAGCCGACAAAATTCCCTGACCCCAAAAGATGAGGATTATTAATTTGATTAACTATTTAATTATGATATAATTAGCTTTTAAAAATATATTAAATTCTATGAAAAGACGGTTTCTCTTCGAAAGCATCTGAGCCGTTACCCCGCAATACTCACTCACTCACACACTTCTCTCTCTCTCTCTGCTTCAACAGTGACTTTCTCTCTCCCATTTCGCTTCTACGGCTCCATTTCCCTGACATTACTCTTTGATTTCGCTTCACGGGGAACTGCTTCGTTCTCACTTTTTCTCTCTCTGGCTCTTTAGGGTTAGGGTTTCGGCATTATGGTGTGAAGGCTCTGTGGACTGGTTTGGCTGAGGGTTTTGGGAGATCGAAGCCGAGATTGAGGTTTTTGTAGTGTGATGGGGAATTGTTGCAGATCTCCCGCGGCTGTTGCGAGAGAGGATGTGAAATCGAGCTTTTCAGGACAGGATCCCAGCCGTCGGGACTCGAATGCGGGAAAGAAGGCTCCGGTTACGGTCTTGAATGGCGTGCCGAAGGAGAATATTGAGGAGAAGTATTTAGTGGATCGAGAGCTTGGCCGAGGCGAGTTCGGTGTTACGTACCTTTGTATAGACCGCCAAACGAGGGATTTATTGGCTTGTAAGAGTATTTCGAAGCGGAAGCTGAGGACGGCTGTGGACGTTGAGGATGTGAGGCGTGAAGTCGCAATTATGAAGCACTTGCCCAAGAATTCGAGCATTGTGAGTTTGAAGGAGGCGTGTGAGGATGAAAATGCAGTGCATTTGGTGATGGAATTGTGCGAGGGCGGTGAGCTTTTTGATCGGATTGTGGCGAGAGGACATTACACGGAGCGAGCGGCTGCGGCTGTCATGAGGACAATAGTTGAGGTTGTGCAACTCTGCCACAAGCACGGGGTAATTCACAGAGACTTGAAGCCTGAAAATTTCTTGTTTGCTAACAAGAAGGAGAATTCCCCTCTCAAGGCAATAGATTTTGGATTATCTATATTCTTCAAGCCAGGTTAGAGTTTTGATTGGAATGTAGAATTTACAATGTAGCTTCTAAGCTTGTTGTACGCTAAGAATCGCGATTCCTGGATAGTGTTATTGCAATGTTTCAAATTGTTCTGTTCTCTGCGTTATTTAGGATTGAATTAGTACAGAATTGAGCAGAAAAGAGTCACTTCTAGTTGAAATGCGTTCTTTTGGCTTTTTACTAGTACCCAAGCGTTTGGAGTTGCTACTATGTCTTCAATTTTGATTTCCTGGTCCCACTTGACATCAAACTATCTAAAATGGGGTCTAGCTTTCCTTCCATCAGATCCAGGAATTGTGTTTCTGGCCATAGATGGATAAACTTTTGGGGCTTATCCTTCGACAGATAAGGATGTTATCTTCTCTACCACATTATACTACGAAGTCTTACATGTTACAAGTTCCATTCCATGAAATCTCTAAGTTGTAGAAAGTCTTTATGGCAGTTTTCCTGCCGCCAGATGGAGGAACGAACTTACACGTTGTACCTGCTAGTTAGTACTTCAAAGTAGTGGGAACCTATGAGGAAAGGTCCCATTAATAGCTCTTGTTAAGGATTTGGGAGTAATTGTGATGTATTTTCAATCTTAGGTGGAACGTTACACCTATATATGAAAATAATTGTTTTAATCAATTTATTGCTTTCAATGCTACTGACATTTTCCCCATTCTTGAGACAATAGATGTGACCTTACTAAATTTTACCAAAATTATAGGTGAAAAGTTCTCCGAAATTGTTGGAAGTCCATATTACATGGCCCCGGAGGTGTTGAAGCGAAATTATGGACCAGAAATAGACATATGGAGTGCAGGGGTCATTTTATACATCTTGTTGTGCGGAGTTCCTCCCTTTTGGGCTGGTAATTAGTTGCATAGTATCCCTTGTGGGTTATAATCAATTATTGATGACTAATGTCTGATTGCTTTGCTTTCATGTTCCAATGATTATTACATATAGCTAATTGAAACAAAATGCTCTATTGAATCAATTGTACTTTTTTCATAGAGACTGAACAAGGGGTGGCTCAAGCTATTCTCCGTGGGCTGATAGATTTCAAACGTGATCCATGGCCCTGTATCTCAGAGAGTGCTAAAAGTCTTGTGAAGCAAATGTTGGAGCCAGATCCAAAGCTTCGTTTGACTGCAAAGCAAGTTCTTGGTAATTTACATATTCTGACTTTTGACAGATTGTATTTCCTGGCAATAGGAATAGAAGGACTATATTGTTGAGCTAACACAAACTTCTCTGTTATTGACGTGTTTAGGTGTAAAAGTTATTAGCCTTATGTGTAATATTAGTTAGGTGTTTACTTGGAAATTTGATCAGACTCTGGGTTATGTGCTGCTTCATTTTTGTGTACAGATCATCCTTGGCTTCAAAATATTAAAAAAGCTCCAAATGTTCCACTTGGAGATGTTGTCAAATCAAGGCTCAAGCAGTTTTCCATGATGAACAGATTTAAGAGAAAGGCCTTACGGGTTGGTTAAATGCTTCCGAATATCGTTTTGTTGTTTGATTAATGCATCTTAAAAAATAATTCAATGGGACCCTGTGACAGGTTATTGCTGATTTCTTATCCACCGAAGAAGTTGAAGATATCAAAGAAATGTTCAAGAAGATTGACACTGATAATGATGGTATTGTTAATATTGAAGAACTGAAGGCTGGCGTTCACAACTTAAGCTCTCAACTCGGCGAGCATGAAATTGAGATGTTAATTGAAGCTGTAAGTGTTCTTATTTACCAAGTTGGCAGTCCATTTTTTGTTGTCTAGTTTAATAAACCTCCAAGGGAATTCAAAGTTCCTCCTTAATCATGATCTGGTATTATGACTTCCCTATTGCCTATTCTCAACCTGTGTGCTGTAATTTCCATATAAGCTAGGGTGAGTATCATAATGATTGGGTATTATGTAAGGCAGCACCTGAATTAATGTTTTCACATCCTTGAGAGCTATTTTCCAAATATATCTCCATGCTCATAATGACACAATTTCTTTGTATGCGCAGTATGAAATATTAAATTGTGTGTTAAAAAAATCATTGCCACACTTTGAATGGTTAAGTGTTCTTTGGTGTAACAGGTTGATACCAACGGGAAAGGCACATTGGACTACGGAGAATTTGTTGCAGTGTCGCTTCATCTACAAAGAATGGCGAATGATGAGCACCTTAGGAAGGCATTTTCGTACTTCGATAAGGATGGAAACGGTTACATCGAGCCAGACGAACTTCGTGATGCTTTAGTAGAAGATGGAGCAGATGATTGTACAGATGTTGCAAATGACATCTTTCAGGAAGTAGATACAAACAAGGTGAACATTGACCTGGTTCCTTTTTCTTCTTGTGTGTGGACTGTTGTGCGCAAATCATAAAATATGGTTGTGGATAAAATGCAGGATGGGCTTATAAGTTATGATGAATTCGTGGCTATGATGAAAACGGGCACGGATTGGAGGAAGGCTTCTCGGCACTACTCAAGAGGAAGATTTAACAGTCTGAGCATCAAGCTGATGAAAGATGGATCGCTAAACTTGGGGAGTGAATAATAATAATAATACAGCGATGATTTGGAGGAGAGAGTGGATTTAGTATTTGGTTGATTCACATAGAGAAGCACTGTAACGTAACATTGGGCTTACATCTGAGAGTTGCGTTGCTTTCTTGTGTGCTTATTTGTTGGGTGGGGCCCGGCCCATTCGATTAGGATATGGCGGCCCATTAGCGTGATTGCAGGCTCAGTATGTGTCTAATTGGTCCCACCTAAAATGTTATGTAAAATGTTGCCTCGTAGTTAACCCCACAACAGTACAGCTTCTATTCTATGATATTACTACAACCTACTTTTTCTACTAATGCTTGCTTTTAATTCTGCTGCAGACCTCAGTCAGAGCAGAGCTGAAAGCCCTATTGTTCCCGTTTTCTAACAATTATTGAGCTTAGGTGGGGCCCTTCTTTCCCTCCCATTCAAAGGCAGAATAAATTAATGCTTTCGTTTAGGGTCTATTAGAGGCATAAGGCACCGAATTTATGGCGCCACTTGCCAGTGTTAGTGCTCTTCATTTATTGGATTATAAAATGACATTGACATCCACGTGAACTGGACAGCGCCGTAAATCCACCAACTGAATTAATGGATCTTGGTCTGCAAAATATAGCACCAAACCAATGGGTATTCAGTGAAAATCTCAACACTTAGTTTTATATGGTTCTTTATATAGCACCAAACCAATGGGTTTATTTATATATTTATTTTATTTCAGGTACTCCATTTGAGTTTATTGGACACTTTTTTTGTTGTTTTATTTTTGATAGGGGGCTTATTCGGCCTCGGTTTTAGATAAATTGACTTAAGCGAGGGAGATGAAAAGCGTTGGTGTAGTATGGAGTAGTGGTTTTGAGAGCCATGGGTTGTTGCAAAACCAACAATGTAAGATGGAGAATTGTGGTCGAAGTGAGAAAATTAGAGCTGTTGGAGGAAGATAAGAGCGAGTCAATCCATCGAGGGAGAGTCGTTGAAGGTTGATTTGTTGATCGGGTGAGAGGTAGAGTTGTAGAGGGAACGAGAGGACGATCTTAGAACACGAGATAGATGAGCTATGCACCAACAATGTAGTTAAACAATGTGGTGGGGCTCATCTCAGATTCTTGCTGATGCAGCTGCTTGAGGATTTGCCCTACGGGGGGGGGGGGGGGGGGGGGGGGGGGGGGGGGGGGGGGGGGGGCTGAGGCTACTGAAAACATTTGGGCCACAGACATTTGATGTAGGCCCACTCTTCATTGCAGAGTTAAAGCTGAGGGGATAAATAATTTATTTTTGTACTCGTATTGGTCATCATCCGGGTAATGTGAATAGTTGCGGTTTCACATTAAAAATATTTAGCTGTGATATCGGCCCATGGGCTAATGCAGAAAAGGCCAATGAGGCCCCCGACGTCTTTTTTCTTCAACTGAATGTATTGATGTATATATATTGAAGTTATGAGTACAGTTAGAGGAACATTTAAAACCTATTAAAAACCTATTAAACATTTGGAAGTTGTCACATTTTTGTAAAAACCCATAGCATTATTAGCTACTTTTGCGATGATCTAATAATATTTTTTTTTAAATAAATAATAAATAATAAAAACTGAGAATGTTTGTCTGAAAGGACACTATCCATCAACTTTAGGTAGTTGCCTCAGCAGTGCTTGTTATTCATTAGTTTTCCATGTTACATTATTTAATTTAAAAAAAAATTGATATTTACTCGTCAATGGCTACTGATTCTGAGGGGTCTCTCCCTGTAGCAAGGAAGAAAAGCTCACTCCTTTCTAGGAGAATCATGGGTGACCCTCCATGTGGCACATCTACCTTCCATCCTTTTTAATTTCATTTATTCAACTAATTAAGAAAATAATAAAGCTTAGGAAATATTATACACAAAATTTCTTTTAAAAAACATCAAAATCAAAAGGCTAATAACTTGTTGATATGCTATTACCTTAATTAAATCGATATGGGAATCCATACACGGTTTTCAAATGAAATTTATGCCTTATTCTACATCGAGAATCTTTGATTGTTTAGGGTTTAGTCAGAGGTTCATGCACCATGCAATGCAATAAACGATAAGTTGAAATTTGTGTCATATTCAATTTTATTATACAAATGTTATATTATTATTATTATTTATAATTGTTAGAGATTCATGCACTGTGTTGAAAATGACAAAAAAAATTCATATTTTATTTAACGAGATTTATGGTGATGATAGAGAATATCACTATAGACAACATAGAGAAGCAAATGGACAAAACTATATATGTGTATGACGGCTCAACAAATATAGTTACATGTGAAACAAATTACGCCCATCTTATTGATTGTTTCACATTAATCTTTAAAATCGACACCAACAAATAAAACATATTTTTCTTTCCCTTCTAATGATATTTTAATTGTTTGAGTTTATTTTATTATAAATAGTTAAAATTAAAAAATAAAAGAAAGTATATGTCAGAAATAATCTAAAACTTAGATAGTTACATATATCTTAAATATGTTTTACTCTATCTTTTTTAAAAAAAAAAAATGGAAATTACCTTTGAAACAATGGACAGAGAAGTAAAAGATAAAAAAGGAAAATTTTACTAGAAATTTATCCACAAATTTACCTGTTTAATTCGGCCACATTTTCCTTATCTTTCGACAGTTTTATAAACTAAGTCACTTTCTCCTACCTAATCCGACCAGCTTTGTCTAGAAATGCTAAATTATGTCCTTTTATCCATTACTATGACTGTTCGTTTTTTCAACTAAACACAATGTATTTGAGCAAATGATCTAAGCTCTTTATCGAGAGAGATCTCAAAATTAGTCTATTTTTATGTTGCAGTCTGAAAAGGCATCGAGTAGCCGAGAGAAGCTTCCCAGCCACCCATTAATTTCAATCGACTTGTCGTTCATGCGAGAATTCGTTCCCATGTCCAAATTAACTCATAAATAAAGTATTGGATCTAGATACTTATTATTCTGATACTTAAGTAAGTGAATATAGATAGAAATAGTGTCGCAAGTCATGCTAGGGTTGTATTGCACACCTTAATATTAGGTCTCCATTTACTGACGTGCAGAAGAGAGGGGAAAAAACAATTGTTGCATATGTTAGATGGAAGTTTCATATCGGCTAGTTTAGAGCAGGATTATGGATTTATAATCATAGAATACTATTTTCATTGGTACGAGACCTTTTTCGAAAACTTAAAGCAAAGTCATTAGAGCTTATAATCAAAGTGGACAGTATCAAACCACTGTAGAGAGTCGGTGTTCTTCTAACAACATATAGAACGAGTTCAAAACCTTAAACGAAAAAGTAAGAAGTTTTGGTTTCATATTTCCACCTACTTTGTTTCTTATTCGTTGTCTTAAGTTCATACCTAGAAAAGGTAAAATAGGCCACTAAATTAAGTGTCATGTTTGGCAAGTTTGTGATGCGTTGTATTTCCAATATACTTTAATTTCACATTGAGTTGGTATTGAATTTTGAAATATATAGTTTTGTAAATTAATTATAATCTAATTTAATTACAAATCCCTCCATTTAAAAATGACTAAAATATCCTCACACTAGCAATTGACAACCACCCTTCATTAGCCACATACCACCACCAACCCATTTTAATGGTTGGGTTAATTCATGGTATAGCAAATTCAACAAATTTCAATTTATTATAAATTATAAATATTAATTTGAATAATATAAGCTCAACAAAAATAGTTTTCTTTTGACTTGCACTAATTTTGAGGCGTGACGTTAAAAAATTCTATCCTTTGTTTAAAAACAAGGTTTTTTTAAAAAAAATTATTAACAAATTGTTACGTTATTTTCTTCCTATTTTTAAATTTTATGAATATGTAAACTTTAAATTATTTTTTTTAGTAATATAAATCTATATTAGTTTTTTTTAATCATATGTATAGCCGTATTAAATTGGAATTTGAAATTTGAAATTTGAAGTTTGAATTTTGATTATATGTGTTTTTTAATTTAATATTTATAATAAATATAAATATAGGTATCATTTTTCAAATTTGTCCCGATTCTTCCAAATCTTACTGTCTTAGCTGTAATATCTTTTGATTTGTAATCAAATCCCATTAAAAAAAACATTACTATAAGGTTGGTGAACACATTTATTATTTGGAGGGGGAGATTGCATAAAAATTGATTCATAATTAATAATATAAATAATATAATTCAATAAATAAATATTAATTATCATTCTCAATATTGATTAAAAAAATTCAGTATTTACCAATTCATATCTATAATATATATATATATAAAGCGGCAATGGAGAAAAACTTTCACCATTTAATAGCATTATTAAACATTAAAAACACGTGCAAAGTGACAGAATTAGTTTACATAATTTGAAGAGTTTAAAATCAATAATGATATAATTTTTAAGAAGTGGGGGTTTCACAATGTCCCTCCACACCACCGTCACTTGTTAATTGATTTATCACGTGCCTTTTTCCTTTTCTGGCCGATTTTTCGCACGTGTTCTTCAGACACCACAATAATCCCATCCTATGTCCCAGTCCCGTGGATGTCGGCCAAACATTATCCTTGTCTTTTTTTTTTTTTTTTTTCTTCTTCAATTTATATATATATTCTACTAATTTTCTGGTATTATCAAACCCCTCCAACAGCCTTCCTTTTTATTATTCCTAATTTATTAAAATTCCAATGATACGCCCAAACTGATCATAAAAGAAATATAAAATCCAAAGACAATATCAAAACAACTGTTCTTTAATTAATTAATTTATTTTTAATTTTTTTAATTTTCCATGCTGTCGGATGAAATAAAGCAAGTTTTTCACGGCGCGGAAATTAAATAATTCCCACAAGAATTTTTTTTCTTTTCTTTATTATATTTTCTCACCTAGTTTAAGAGCCACGTAACAGCTCACACTTCCTATAAATATGTGGAGTCTTAAAAATCCACAATTGCATCAGAAAATAGATAAGATAAGATAAAGAAAATGAGTTGGCCGGAGCCGGTGGTTTGCGTGCAGTCGCTGGCGGAGAGTGGAATAAAAACGATTCCAGTGAGGTATGTGAAGCCGCCATGTCAGAGGCCAGGTGGCGCCGCCATGGAGAGTGTTGAGGTGCAGAGGAATATTCCGATGGTGGACATGGCGAAGCTGGAGAGCGCGGCGGCGGTGAGGGACATGGCGGAAGCTTGCCAGGAATGGGGATTTTTCCATGTAATAAACCATGGGATTAGTGGTGAGCTGATGGAGTGCGTGAAGGAGTCATGGAAACAGTTCTTCGATCAGCCGTTGGATTTGAAGAAACAATA